TCTCTGTGTCTCTGTGTCTCTGCGTCTCTGTCTCTCTGCGTCTCTGCGTCTCTGTGTCTCTGCGTCTCTGCGTCTCTCTGCGTCTCTGTGTCTCTGCGTCTCTGCGTCTCTCTGTGTCTCTGTGTCTCTGCGTCTCTCTGCCTCTCTGCGTCTCTGCCTCTCTGCGTCTCTCTGTGTCTCTGTGTCTCTGCGTCTCTGTCTCTCTGCGTCTCTGCGTCTCTCTGCGTCTCTGTGTCTCTGCGTCTCTCGTCGTCTCTGTGTCTCTGCGTCTCTGCGTCTCTGTGTCTCTGTCTCTCTGCGTCTCTGGCTCTCTGCCTCTCGGCGTCTCTCTGCGTCTCTCTGCGTCTCTGCCTCTCTGCGTCTCTGCCTCTCTGCGTCTCTCTGCGTCTCTGCGTCTCTGCCTCTCTGCGTCTCTCTGCCTCTCTGCGTCTCTCTGTGTCTCTGTGTCTCTGCGTCTCTGTCTCTCTGCGTCTCTGCGTCTCTCTGCGTCTCTGTGTCTCTGTGTCTCTGCGTCTCTCTGCGTCTCTGCGTCTCTGCGTCTCTGCGTCTCTGCGTCTCTGCGTCTCTCTGCGTCTCTGCGTCTCTCTGCGTCTCTGCGTCTCTGCGTCTCTGCGTCTCTGCCTCTCTGCGTCTCTGCCTCTCTGCGTCTCTGTGTGTCTCTGTGTCTCTGCGTCTCTGTCTCTCTGCGTCTCTGCGTCTCTCTGCGTCTCTCTGTGTCTCTGTGTCTCTGAGTCTCTGTCTCTCTGCGTCTCTGCGTCTCTCTGCGTCTCTGTGTCTCTGTGTCTCTGCGTCTCTCTGCGTCTCTGCGTCTCTGCGTCTCTGCGTCTCTGCATCTCTGCGTCTCTCTGTGTCTCTGTGTCTCTGCCTCTCTGTCTCTCTGCGTCTCTGCCTCTCTGTCTCTCTGCGTCTCTCTGCCTCTCTGTCTCTCTGCGTCTCTGCCTCTCTGCGTCTCTCTGCCTCTCTGTCTCTCTGCGTCTCTGCCTCTCTGCGTCTCTGTCTCTCTGTGTCTCTGCGTCTCTCTGCGTCTCTGTGTCTCTGCGTCTCTGCGTCTCTGTCTCTCTGTGTCTCTGTGTCTCTGCGTCTCTGTCTCTCTGCGTCTCTGCGTCTCTCTGCGTCTCTGTGTCTCTGCGTCTTTGTGTCTCTGTCTCTCTGTGTCTCTGCGTCTCTGTCTCTCTGCATCTCTGTCTCTCTGTGTCTCTGCGTCTCTGTATCTCTGCGTCTCTGTCTCTCTGCGTCTCTGTATCTCTGTGTCTCTGCGTCTCTGCGTCTTTGTGTCTCTGCCTCTGCGTCTGTGTCTCTGTGTCTCTGCGTCTCTGCGTCTCTGTGTCTCTGCGTCTCTGTCTCTCTGTGTCTCTGTATCTCTGCGTCTCTGTCTCTCTGTGTCTCTGCGTCTCTGTGTCTCTGCGTCTCTGTCTCTCTGTCTCTCTGTGTCTCTGCGCCTCTGCGTCTGTGTCTCTGCGTCTGTGTCTCTGCGTCTCTGAGTCTCTGTATCTCTGTCTCTCTGCGTCTGTGTCTCTGCGTCTCTCTGTCTCTCTGCGTCTGTGTCTCTGTCTCTCTGCGTCTGTGTCTCTGTCTCTCTGCGTCTGTGTCTCTGTCTCTGCGTCTGTGTCTCTGCCTCTGCGTCTGTGTCTCTGTGTCTGTCTCTCTGCGTCTGTGTCTCTGCGTCTGTGTCTCTGCGTCTCTGAGTCTCTGTATCTCTGTCTCTCTGCGTCTGTGTCTCTGCGTCTCTCTGTCTCTCTGCGTCTGTGTCTCTGCGTCTCTCTGTCTCTCTGCGTCTATGTCTCTGCGTCTCTGTCTTCATATATAACGTCTTATTTCAGGGACCTCCAGCAGTTGGAGGACAGCACGCAGCTCCCCCTGCTGGCGCACTTCTCTGAGACGGTGGAGGGACTGACCACTATACGGGCGTTCAGGTAAACCAATAGCCCCCCCCCACAGGTATGATATCTGAGCATCTGATTGGTTGCTGTGTCTTTGCACTGATTGGATGGATCCGTGGAGCAGGCAGTCGGCGTCCATCTTTTAGCGGCCTCATGTGCGTCATGTTCTTCTCCTTCAGATACGAGTCCAGGTTTCAGCAGAAGCTTCTAGAACTCACCGACTCCAACAACATTGCGTCCCTCTTCCTGACTGCCGCCAATCGCTGGCTAGAAGTGCGCATGGTGAGTGAGGCTGACTGGAGGGGGAGGAGTATCTGCGACCAATCACATCCCAGAGAACGTTCCCCGTGAGCCAAGGATCAGCCACGCAATGGACATCCCAGGGAAGGTTCTTCAGGGGCCGGTCACACAATGGACATCCCAGGGGAGGTTCCTCAGGGGCCGGTCACACAATGGACATCCCAGGGGAGGTTCCTCATGGGACGGTCACATAATGGACATCCCAGGGGAGGTTCCTCATGGGACGGTCACATAATGGACATCCCAGGGAAGGTTCTTCAGGGGCTGGTCACACAATGGACATCCCAGGGGAGGTTCCTCAGGGCCGGTCACACAATGGACATCCCAGGGGAGGTTCCTCAAGGGCCGGGCACACAATGGACATCCCAGGGGAGGTTCCTCAGGGCCGGTCACACAATGGACATCCCAGGGGAGGTTCTTCAGGGGCCGGTCACACAATGGACATGCCAGGGGAGGTTCCTCAGGGGCCGGTCACACAATGGACATCCCAGGGGAGGTTTCTCAGGGGCCGGTCACACAATGGACATCCCAGGGGAGGTTCCTCATGGGACGGTCACATAATGGACATCCCAGGGAAGGTTCTTCAGGGGCCGGTCACACAATGGACATCCCAGGGGATGTTCCTCAGGGCCGGTCACACAATGGACATCCCAGGGGAGGTTCCTCAGGGGCCGGGCACACAATGGACATCCCAGGGGAGGTTCCTCAGGGCCGGTCACACAATGGACATCCCAGGGGAGGTTCCTCAGGGGCCGGTCACACAATGGACATCCCAGGGGAGGTTCCTCAGGG